GCCAATTGATAGACAAGACTTTTAAGGGTCTCAGGGCTATCAATCCCCTTGTCAATGTAGCACAAAGAGGTTAATCAATCCAGATGTGGTGTTAGACACTAAGCTATATGATCAAGTTCTTAATTCAAGCAAACAAGAGCGGGTTTTGATTAATCTAGAGAAAGCTATAAACATAAACAGGATTAAAGACTAATGACAATGACAAATGATATGATGCGAATATGATATGATGGAGGCATGAGATTCTAGACATGATAGTTGGTCAGGGTGCTTTGGTGTTAAACTAGAGATGCTGATGACAATGATGAGACATGATTCAAGTGATTAAGAACTCTAATCTAGGTTAATCCTCTCATGAAGGTATTAACCCCTATACTAATCCATTTTCAAACCAAATTCCCATTTGTGAAATATGAATCAATACGCATTAATAAACAGTTCTTAATGATCATTCAAGCATTTAACAAATCATTCCCATGATGAAAAATTACTTAAACCTCTAACACAACTCTTTCAGGAATTTCATCAAACACTTTTGGTGCATGAAATTCCCAGATTCTAAATCTCAAGTGATTATCAAGGATCTAGCATAGAGAACAGTTGTTTAGAGAAATGAATCAATGAATCTAGCCCTAAGCACCCCTAATCTAACACTTTAGCACCCTAACCTACACATCTAGAACCTCATTAAGGTGACTACTCACTAATCATACTAATCTCTCTTAAACCTTTGCAAGTTGAGAAGATTAGCATGATTAATGATGAGAAATGGAGATGGAGATGATAGATTCAAAAGAAAACAGCTTTAAACACCCAGATCTCCTTAAACTCTCTTGATTCAACACTCAAATATAGATATTTCTCTTCTTAATGGAGTCTTTTTTCACAAAAGAGGCAAGAGACAAAGGGAATAAAACTTAGTTCTCTCCCCAAAAAACCCTAAAAAGTATTTATACTTTCTTAAAAACGAACCGGGTCAGCCCGGAACAAACCGGGTCCTGACCCGGCTTTAGTGGATAAAGTGAGAATTACTGCGGGTCAGTCCAGTATGTCCCAGGTCGCACACCTAAGTCGCAGCAGATGAAGACTTGTCTTGTGAAGCCTGAATCGCCTTGCCTTAGCCGCACGCCTAAGTAGGAGTGTTTTGCGAGTGTTGCTGCGGCTTGGTCTCCTTCCTCTCCAACTCGCAGGGCTAAGGCGGTTTCTGGGGAATGTACAAACTGTGCGGGTTAGTCTCTATTGCAACTAGGTCGCAGGCTCAAGTCGGAGTGATTTGCGAGTGATCGCGCGGCATAGTTCCAGGCGCGGCTAACTCGCATGCCTAAGTCGCAGGATTGTGGACTTAGCATTTCTCTTGCTCTTGAGCTTCAGACCTCTTCCAGTGATAGTTTACCCGCACATATCAACTCGCAGCATCAGCATTCAGGCGTTCATCTTCAGGCCTGCGGGCTAACCAAGTCGCAAGACCGTCTCGCAGCATCCAGAGCAGCTTAGACCACTTCGCATTCCGGAGAGTGTAACTCCTATGAGGCTTGTCCGAATTGAATGATTTCAGTTGCAGAAGACAGAGGACTCATTTATCTCCAACTTTGGTGAAGGAAGCTTCGGTGCTTGGGAAGTGTAAGGCTTTTTGGAGGGCACATCTTTGCAGTGCGTGTACACGACCAGAGAGAGGCGTCTAGACATGTGTCCATTCCGGAGACCGTATCTTTCTGCTCATAGATCCGAATTGAATGCTCTTGGACGTTCTGGAAAGAAGACTCAAATGTCTCTGGTTCTCATGAAGGACCCGGAAACTAAATCGGCCTGGAAGTGCACCGTCCTTCGCATTCTTTAGGACTGATCTGCTCGGTCCGGAATACCTGCGAGACTGGGGTTCCTTCCGACAAGCTTATCTCTCTGCTCACGCGTCAGAATTCCACGATTCCACTTGCTAAGAGACCGTGATGCAATGCTATCCAAATTCTATGAAGCACCCGCCGTCTGAATCGGACCGGAAGGCTCCCCGGACAGGCGATTTCTGAGACATGTTTGCACCCGGAGATTTTGGCCGATACACTTCACTCGCGGTACGTGTTTTGGTCGACAAAGTTCACCCGCGGTACGTGAAAATGGTCGACAAAACCTTCCTGGCCAGCGAGAATGGCCGATAACCTCCATAAACCCAAGTTTTCCACTTTTTCAAGCTTTGCTCACCATTCCACCTCCTGGATTCGTCTTTTCAGCTCCATATTCACCTGATAGACACTCAAAACATGCAAAGACTCATTGGGACCTAATGCATTCTCCTAAGTCCTAAAACAAACCCTAAGGACCTAAAATGCATGAAATAAAACATGATTTGGAATGATTTATGCAACCTAAATGATGCAAATTATGAACATATCACCAAGCTCCGATGGTTTCTTCACCAAAGTTCGAGCTTATTGAGTCATCTTGACTGTGGAACTGGTCCCAGAACAATTGGAGTCGTGTGCTGAAAGTTACTGCTTCCGGAAGGTGACATGGTCGATACAAGCCTAAAAGAGTTGCGATACGCGCTAAGTATTTTCACAAGCCTCGGTATCTTTACCTTGGCGTCACTCAAGTCGAGGCTCATATCTTGGAAGTATTCTGGACTAGACCTCGTGCCAAAGCCTTGGCATGGTTAGATCGAGGCATGCATACGTAAGAACTGAAGCTGGAAACGACTAAGTGTTGAAAGTACACCTCGGTGTAATGACCTCGGCGTGCATGCCGGACTGTGTTCTCCCAAGCACCTCGACATCATGACCCCTCGACATTTTATCCCGAGGTCCCTTGTCACGAACCCAGAATCAAGAACAGAATGGCTTAAGAACATACACGTGAGGATAGATCAAAGACTAGGGTTCATGCATGTTCTTGACGTGTTCTTCACGAGATCTTCATCTGGATCCTGACTCATGTGCACGCCTCGGCATGAAGACTTCGGCTTCACTTTCCGACACACCGTGGCACTCACCCATCAACCCAAGAAGGCGGTTCAGTACCCGGTTTGTTCCGGGCTGACCCGCGACACTTTCCCTTTGCTATAAATACATTTTGAGACTAAAAACCTAGTTATCTTATCTCTTATCTGTTTTTAGCTCTAAGAACTTGCCTCTTTTGTGAAACTTGATTAATCTAATCCGATATCTCGTTTTTGCATCAGAATCTTGTTCTTTCTTTATTTATTTTATCATCCAACATCAAACTCCTTATCATGACTAGCTACACGTCTTGCAAAAGACTTAGTGAGCTCGTTATGATCAGTGAGTAGTCGTTTAAGCGGCTTTAGATAGGTAGATTAGGGTGCTTTCAAGGTGGATTAATGGGTTTAGGTGTCTAGTCTTGTATGTTTCATTCCTTAACCGACGAGATCTCTAAGCTGGATCCAAGCACATCACTTGAGGTTCAGATCTGAGACATATCTCGCATCAGAAGTGTTTGTAGAAATGTCTGAACCACTCGGTTAAGGGTTTAAGAGTCTTTCATCGCGAGAGTGATAGTTTGTTCTCCTAAATGACGTTTTTGAACCGATTCTTATTGCTGACTGATTCGTGCTTCTCAAAAGGGATTTTGGTATGAAAGAGGATCAGTTTAGACGTTTAATACTTTCATGAGAAGATTAACGTGCCTTGAGTTCAAAGTCAAATGAAATCGCTTGATAAAATGATTCATTAGTCCCTTAGTCTAACTTGGAAGCACCCGAGTCAAATATCCTGTCTAAAGCTTCTGCCTTTATCATTCATTACCATCATCTGAATCACCTGTTTGTTATTTGCATCTTGATTAGTTTAAATCTCTGCTTTTATTTAACTTTATTGCTCATTTGCCTGTTAATCATCGTCACCAAACTTTTATCATCTTGTCTTGACTTAAGTTAACAAATGACATAGGCTAGTGTCTCGTTTACAAGCTTGGTTTGACACCCCTTTTACTACTTTGACAAGGGGATTGATAACCCTTCTAAGATCCTGAAAACTCTTAGTTATCAGCCTACATGTAGTATGTCTTTATCTATATCTAATAGAGGTGTCAAATTGGGCTGAGATCCGCTGGTTCGGCCCAAGTAGGACTGTAGCGGGGCGGGCTTGGGCTCGATGAAATTTGTCCAAAAACAAAGCGGGTCTGGCAGGCTTAACCCGTGCGAAAGTCAGGTTTCGTGGTGTAATCCAGAGCGGGTTTGCGGGTGTGCAATCCAAACCAAAAAAATCTGTCATTCTCTTCTAAATTCTGACAAAAGTGCATTCCACACAAAATATTTGTCGTTCTCTTCTCAAATTCTCAGCAGGTCCCATGGCCATTCTCAAAAATCCGATCAGTCTCTTGCTTGGTTTTGATTCTTCTTTGGTAAGATCAATCACTATTTTATCTTTTGCAACGTCTTTGGTTATCGTAACTGATTCTCCTCTCGATTTGATCATGTTTTCTTTCTTCTTAAAATAATTTCACGAAATGAGTTTTCTTGTGCTGTTACTTCCGATATTGTACTCTAATTTGAGAGGTTTTATTTGTTCTTAGTTGCCTCTGAGGTATCTTAGTTTTGTGATTGCTTCGGAGACGATGGTTTACAATTGATTTTTTTTTTCTGCAAATCTGGAATATTTTAATTGAATCCTTGCTCCTAAATTCTTGAATATTCGTTACAGGTACGAGGTTTATAAGTTACATCCCTCTGTGTTGGCTACTGGAATAATGATTTATGAAATCAAGAGTTTGAAACCATGTGGATAAGTTGAATACCAATCTCTAACTCATGACTCTACTCAAAGTTAATCAGGTATGTGCTTAAACCTTTGCAATTAGTCTCGTAATGTTAATTGTAATACTATGAAAATGGGAACCTGATTATGCTATGAAAAAATGTTGGAGGACAATCCAAGCAAGGAGTGGATGATGAATTGGGTCGATGAGGACAGTCCAAGCGGTGTATTCAGTTTTGAGTACAGTTCAAATGGCTCCTAGAATGTCTCTTTGGCTTTATCATCATCTACTCCAGAGTCTCTGCTAGAGCAGCAAATAAGGTTGCATTCAATAAACCTTATTTTTCATTCCTTGTTGTGTATGTGCGTCAGTTTATGTAGCATGTATATAGCTTTTGTTGGATTTTAGGATATGAAAATGGTATCAGTGAAAGAGATATATTTTGAGTATGGGTAAGTTCACGTGACATAAATCATTAATTTTCTTTATGCAGCTTATGTTATTTGGGGGACATGGAACTGGTTAATGGCTGAGTCGTTATGATGTCTATTATGATGACACTAAAATTTTGGACAAAGGTAGATTTTTGCACACTAATCTTGTTAGATCTATTTCCTGCTCGATCTTGTAATTTTGGATTTAGCTTTGTTTAATTATCTAATTGTTGGCCTGATTTGTGATTTGATGCTCTTGCTTATCTATAGTGTAAATTTTTATTATACAAACGAATGATACATTAAAAACTAACAAACATTGGTTATAGTCATTTGAAACAGGTTTTTTTTTATTGCAGTCTGCAGGTCAGTCCGCAAACCCATAGAATATAGGCGGGTCAGGTTTGGACAGCAGTCCACGCAGTCCAGTCCGCGAAGTCTCAAAATAAAAAAGAAACCGCAATGGGTCGGGCTATTTGGATGCAGGCTGGCCCGTTTGACACCTCTAATTTCTAATTATCTGCATGCATGGAACTATAATATGCACTAATATTGCTAGCCAACTATCTTCACCCTAACCAACTAATCACTTAAACTTGACAAGTAGCTCTCGTCTCTTACTGCGAGTAAGATCATGCATTAACTGAACGAATTCATTCTTCCTCATATCTTCTGTAGCTAGCTTTCAACTCCTAACAACAACTATGTTCTTCTGAAGCAATGTACGGCGATCTGATACATCACTGTTGTGGCTCTAATCAATCCTAGTTTTAGAGATTAGTTCATGACTCTAACCTCATGCATTACGCAAACCTCCGAAGAGATGAGATCTACAATATGGCTGATAAAACTAGCAATTCTAATGGAACATATAGATCCCTTCGATGGACCCTTTAAACCCAACTACTAAACTACTCTAACATGATGCAAGAAAGGAAAAGCATAATAGATAGATGCATAAACTGAAAAAGATAGATAAAAGATAAAACAAGGATTCAAGAGAAGAATCCCTATCTCCCTACCCTAAACCTAAGAATAAAAGTTTGGTGGCTCCAAAACTTATTACAGGAGCACACACAAAATTAGGTCTTCTAAAACACATATTTATAAGTCTTCAAGTGTATTTGGTCGTCCTTAGAGCTTTCTTGCAGAGAGAATGAGTTGTGTTTGAAAAAATAGGCCTTAGGACCGAGAATGAGCTTTGATGTGGTCATCAGACATGAGGCTGAACCAGAGCTCCATCAAACATCACACTCAAGGTCCGACCAGGACACATGTGCCTTTCAAGGAGCATACCGAATCAACCATGAAGATTCAGAGCCTGAGCTCACTTGAAAACCATTCTTAGATCAGCTAGAAGACGCCACGAAGTTGAATCAGCCAAATCAGAGTTCAAACAAAGCAGTTCTTCAATTTACAAATCGGTTGATCTCTAACTTACCCTATTTGAACATGTGTGTCTTAATTGGCGGTTTCCGACCAAACCAGGAGGAATTAAGCTTCAAACCGAGTTGTTCTAGAATCTTGGTTCATCAGAGAATATGCAAAACTTGGAATCATACCAAGATCGGTTTTTGTTTGGAAGATATTTAATTTCTAAACCAAAGGATTCCTGACTTGCCTTATTTGGAACCTTCCGAGTTTTGGAATCTTCAAACGTATCTCTGGTGTCCAGGACTGTTTAAAATATATCTAGAGGTTCCTAATGATCTCATCACGTGCACCAGCAAGCATTGGATCAGGCGAATTCAATCTTTCTCACCCACACACGAAGACCTTCAATATTTGGCACCAGAAGCATTAAACAACATTGACCAATTACTCTCAGCTGATTTGGTGTGAAGCAAGAGAGATGTTAAATAAGAAATGGGTTTTGGTTTCTAAGCTAATGACAAAACAAGATCAGAAAAAAAGATGTAAACTAAAACAAGATGCAAATAAGCAAATAAGATAGACACGATAAGCGGTTCATGATAAGAAATGATGAAGCAGAGGCTTTAGACAGGATAATGTACTAGGGTGCTTCTATACTAAACTAGCGAATTAAGGATCAAACTGATGAGGTCATCGAACCATCACCAAACCAAAAGATCGTTCCCGAGCTCAAAGAAGCACCAATGACCCGTTCCAAAGCAAGGAGGCTTAGAGAAGGGTTCAATATGGCCGTAGAATCATTACTAAGTACAATGGAACTTGGAGATGCATTCAAAACCGTTTCTCAAGAGCATTACACGCAAGACAGCCCCAAAGGACCCGATTTAGACATAATGGAGGGCTTCGCGCGTTTGAGCCTCAAAGAGAGCCAGCCTCAACTAGAACCAGGTAAACATGTTTACTTGGCAGGGAATGGAGCACAGAACACCAAAAATCCCAAAGAGACCGCATTGGACCCTCAAGATACAACCGTTTCAACACACGGAGCCGATAGCGAGCAAATGAGACAAGAAGAAGGACATGAAGTAGGACATGAGAAGATACTTTAAGAACTCACAGGACACAACGTTAGAAGGACTCTAGATGAAGAAAAAATCAAGACTAACGAAGAAAACATCAAGACTAACGAGCTACTTGGACCAGAACGCGACCTAATCAACAACGTAACAAGCAAGTCCACAACCGGCCTTAATCAGGTATTTTTCATTTATACGATCTGTGCAGGTAACATGGGAGTATCCTAGTGGTGTCTAACACACTAGAGAGCATCAGAGGTGCACAGAACAAGTCCAGAAAAGGTTGCACGCAATTAGTTTCTTTTCCTTTTTATTTTAAGTGAACTTTCCATTTTGTGTCCAAATGAGAAAGCTTTGCCATTTTTACTTTATTTCTTTTACAAGTCCTGTTGTTTTGAGTCTTTTAATGTCGTTTCTTTTGTTAAGAGTTAAACACTTAAAGGTTCAAAGCTGACGGACTAATTATAAAGTCCCACACGCAGCTGTTGTACTCACCTTTCTACCTTATCAATAAAATAACGCCGTTTTCCTCTTAGCTTGTGCTTGAGAGACTTTGTTTGTGTTCTTGCATGTGAGATTCACCAAGAGATAAGCCGCAGTTTCAGAGATTCCCACATCATCTCTGTGGTGCCTTCGATCCACTTCGCGACCATTACCGATCCCTCAAGAGAGAGCATCAAAGCCAGCTTGACAGATCCCATCTCGATTCAAGCCTTGTGGAAGCAAGTCTTGTCTTACCATCTCCACCCACAGATCCACACGAGAGAGCGTGAAATTAGCGTGTTGATCCCACCAAGCCATCGATTTCGCAATCTTATAAGCCTCACTTCAGTCTTATATCATTTTGGTATCAGAGCCAAAGGTTCCTGCCTTTGGTTTTCTATCCCTAGCATTCTTTAGTTTTATTCATACTGGTTTAGTTTCTTTTGATTTATAAAACCGAAAACCTACAAAAAAAAATTTAGTTGTTTGTTTTCGTATTCAATAGTTAAAAAAAAAAGAATATGTTGCACTGTTAGTTTTAAAACCGTTGTTTCCAGTTCATTGCAAACTAAAATTTGAAAACCCTACAAAAAGTTATTTAGTTTCATTAAAGTGTCGAGTCATATAGCTTAGCGTTTTGTTATCCTCATTATTCGGTGGTGCTTTTAACTAGTTTGTTGTTTTTGTGAGTACAAAGACTTTTAAGCGAGCCTAGTTAACACAATGGCCGAGGGAGAATCTGTTCCGAACGATGCTCTTGTTCAAATGATGAGCACAATGAGAGAGGAGTTGAGGAACATGACTCAACAAATGGAAAACATTCGTCAAGAACTTGGAGCAAGAATAGACCGAGTTGAGGCACAACCTAGGAGGGCCCCAGTTTGAGGAGCACAAGTGCCAGCCGGTGATGCGAGTGATGATGAAGAGATGCCCGAGTTGGAGGATGACCTTCCAGCCAATCCTCTCCAGCAGCGACAACAGAGGAGACCGGACCCTCTAAGGAGAAATCCAGCTAGGGTAGTAGATACCCGACAGAAAACTTAAGACCTCAAGCTAACACCTCCCACTTTTGCAGGAAAATCAGATCCCGAAGCATATTTGGATTGGGAGAGACGCTTAGAGCAAATCTTTGAATGCTATGGCTACACTGAGCGCAAGAAGGTGGCTGTTGCGGCTGCACAGCTCACTGACAGTGCATTAGCGTGGTGGAACAGAAACGTGGCCGAGAGAAGGAGGCTATGTTTTGGACAAGTCATCACTTGGAGCGACATGAAATGCCTGAACACTATCATAGAGACTTACAAAAGCGTTTTCGCAAATTGTCTCAGGAAAACAGAAGAGTAGATGAGTATTTTGAGGAATTTGAGAAGCTAATGAACTCACTGGAGTTAGAAGAATCAGAGGAGGCCCTAATGGCCCAGTTCATTGACGGCTTGCAAGAAAGAATTGCCAGAAAGTTGGAGAGAGCTCAATACAGTGGACTGCACGAGTTATTGCACCTTGCTGTGCAAATGGAGCAGCAAATCAAGTGCAAGACATCTCTCACCAACCGCAACCGTGCAAATCAAACCTGGAACGCCAGCAGCTCTAAACCAGTAGACAAGGGCAAGGCCGTGGAGATCGATTCAAGGTTTAAGGGCAAAAGTATCAAGGCTCCCAAGTTCACCCGAGCCGAGCAAGGTAAGTCCTCTAATAATACCTCAAGGACTCGTGACATAACATGCTTCAGATGTCAAGGCAGGGGTCACATGTCAAGGGAGTGCCCAAACCAACGAGTCATGATCATTACCCCTAGTGGTGACTATGAATCGCAAGAAGAACAAAAAGATGAGTCTAACGACATGGATGAGAAGGTTGAATATCCTGATACCGGTGAGCTATTAGTCACTCGCCGAGTGCTAAGCGTTCTTGTTCACCTCGAGGAAACAGCTCAAAGAGAAAACATATTTCACACTAACGAATGTGTGTGTACTGCTGTGCCATCAACAACATCACCATCAAGTATATGCACCTCATCCCACGCCTAGATGACATGGTTGACGAGCTGAGCGGATCCACAATCTTCTCAAAAGTAGATTTAAAGAGTGGATACCACCAGGTTCGAATGAGTGAAGGAGACGAGTGGAAAACCGCGTTTAAGACCAAGCAAGGTTTGTACGAGTTATTAGTTATGCCTTTTGGCTTGACTAATGCACCAAGCACCTTCATGCGCCTTATGAACCAGGTTCTTCGAGCTTAAGTAAGTAAATTTGTAGTTGTTTATTTCGATGATATACTTATATATAGTAAGAACCTAAATGATCATCTTCAACACCTTGAAATAGTGCTTAAAACACTTCGCAAGGAAGGCCTATATGCTAACCTTAAGAAGTGCACATTTTGTACTAACAGACTTGTTTTCTTAGGCTTTGTAGTAAGTTAACCAGGATTACCAGTAGATGAGGAGAAGATCAAGGCAATACGT